ATACTTCGAATCTTACGCGGGAGAAAACCCGAACAACCAAAGATCCACATACAAATACCCGCGAGAACCTCAGAAAACAAACATACACACATATATATACACTACACACACACACACACATATATATACACACACACACACATATACATATACGTGCCTATATCTACATGTAAAACTGTGTATATGGGAAACAGTATCTAAGAGTCCCCAAGAAGGGAAACCCCCAAGCGCTTCAAGCAAGAAATATTCTGGATCCCTGGTCCCCAACAAGGGAAACCAGCTATACAGGGCCTGGATGGATCCTTTCCTGTCAAAAACGTCCCGCTGTTTGAAATGGCACTTGCGGCTTCACTCCAATGTAACGATCCAAAAGCAATTGCAAAAAGAAAAAAATTCCTGTTTAAGGACTAGCCTGCTTATCCAACGCCAGCAAGATGAAAGAGAAATAATGGCAGGGAAGTGGAGTGGGAAGGTACCTGTCCCGGTCCCCAAGAAGGGAAACCAGCGGGGAATGCCACCTGTAATATTTAGGCGCGAACTTGAAGCCAGCCGTTGAAAACGGCAGGAAGGCAGAATCTCTGGTGTTAATTGCCTGAGCAGTTTAACGAGCCGCTGCTGCTGACTCTCTAAATTGTCAGATAAATGATCCTGTCAGTTGAAATGGCAAGAAATGAGCCGCAGCTAAGAATGCTCTGCCAAGATCGCAGAGATAAGACGATCGGGGGATTAGATAAGCTAATTGCCTGAAGCGGCCGTCTCAGGCTGCCTGCGGAGTGGCAGGCTCCGCCAGCCACAAAGAACTGCTCTCAAATTGATCGGGGGGATGACCTAATAGAGCCACAAGCCTTGAAATCGCCAAATTAATTGGGGAAAAATTTACAAGCCGAATTAACCCAAGAGCAAACCTGAATTTTGACCAGCTGAATCAGAAAAAAACGTTCCAGTCAGGGAGTGCACAACCTCTTACCAAGAAGGCTGAGCTAAAACCGGGGGACGCTGGGGAGGTGTCCCGTGGAGGAGGAGGAGCATCCCGGAGTTTTAAGCCCAGCCTTTCCAGAAGAGACGGAAGCACCTCCCACTTCTGGATCCTCTGAACAGCTCATGGGAGAAATCACCTATCGCTATTGGGTAATCTGTAATTAAGATGAACATCTTACCAAAGATGCTTTTTTTTATTCCAGACATTACCAATATTGGCAACCGATAATCCATTTAAACAATGGCAAAAGATATTTCAAAGTTTATATAGCAAGGGAAAAAAACAAGAATTAGATACAAGCTATTGAAAAACCCTAAGGACAGAGGTTTGGGTTTACCAGACTTGAAATTGTATTTTGATGCATGCTGTCTGGCCTGGTCAAAAAAGTGTGTGAATCTCCAGAACAAGCGGTTACTTGAATTAGAGGGCCATGAATTATGGTTTGGATGACATCATTACCTATGGTATGACAAAGCTGAAGTTAATATTGAATTTAATAATCACTTTGTTAGATGTGCTATACTACCGGTTAGTGTCAAGAATAAATATAAAACAAGGTTCTCTATCAAGTTGCCTCTTTGGGGGTCCTTCCAGGAAGTTTTTTAAAGAAAAGAAATGGCGGCAAAGCGGTGGACATACGGTAAAATACTATTTTTCAACTCCGGTAACTGTACACTAAAGTCAAGTAAAGAACTTGAATCTGAAGGTTATGTTTACCATTGGTTTACATATCAAGAACTGAAAGAAGGATGTAGACTAGATAAAAAGAGTTATGGGTTTGATTTCATTAAAAATCAATTTGTAATCTTACTGTGTGGTTGTGATGAACATATTATTGCGAAGATTTATGTTATTGAAATTGCATTTGGAAAGTGAACATGTAAAACATTGTATGCTTCAGTGGGCAAGGAATTTTGGATATAACTTGATGCTTGAACGATGGGAAAATATGTGGATGAAAGATTTTTATTATTTTATTCTACAAAAAAATAAAATTCTAGTCGCAACTGGTAGTATGTTTTTACCTCAGTAAAAATGCACTTCAGAACAACCTATATTGTGTATGTTGTTAAATTTATCAAACTTTGATTTGAAAATTACAAGTCCTTAGCCACAGATTCTTGCATTTAATCTATTTCGGTTTGTAACCTTCTCGCTTTTAGTTCAGAGTTTAGTTCAGATATTTACTTATTTTGGAAGTCTGACAGAGAAACATCATTTTTATATTATAAAGCTCTATTTCAGTGTTATAAAAATATTCTGTGTTCCCATTAAAAGAGCCATATCACCAGAGACATCTTAAGCATACATTTATTTATATTTGATTTACTTTAATGGATATATAGGCAACTCCAATTGTGAACAATGCATGTGATATGAACCCTGGCTCTTGAAAGAAAAATCAGTAGGCTAGAGTGCCAAATGAATTGTAATTTAATTATACCCAATTTGCAGGATAAAGTACTCATGAAAGTTAATGCTCCATTCACTACTTTTAAATGTCCTGAATAGCTATACAGAACTCAGCCAGGTGAATCATTGAAACAAATAGAAATGTTAGACTCTTCAATCCTGAAGAAACATATATTAAGCTACACCACTTAAAAACAACTTAATATCAAAGTATATAAACAACTAAACATTGTTTTAACATAGCACGAAGAGTAAAAAACTTACCGCAAGCTACTACAAGGCAGTGTGATGAACCTGAACATTGCCAGAAAAACTCTTAATGGGAGGAGGGTGAATACATAAAGGAAAGCATCCAGGCACAAAAAGATTCCAAAAATCATCAACTACAGAGGAAAGAAAGAGAAAGAAATACAGGGTTTAACCAAGTTTCATACTGAGCTTAATTACATGTAAAACGGATAGAACTATAATCATAAGCATCTTCAGTAAAACAGGGCAGTTTACATAAAATTATACATAAATACAAAATTCTATTCAAGGCCTGGCAAAACCAGTAGATTTTCACAATTTAATTAGAAGCAAGGAAGGTGCCCCTCTCCAGACAGGAAGTTCCAATGTGACACCAGACAAGAGACATTCAGCAAAAACTCTCTTTCTAAGCCATTGGCATGTGAACTTTGCAGATTTTCATGCCTTCAGTGACCCTAATCTTTATTCAGTAGATGAAGCATTCTCAGATATAGTGTCATATCATCAGCCTTGATCTTCTATATATGTTCAAATAGTTATAAAATTTACAGAACTCATTTCAAATATCAAATATCAAATATCTTTCCTTCAAACATTTTCTTCTTATACAACAGAATAACATTTTGTCTATTTAGAAAACATAAATCCATATCCAAAAGCAACTTTCCTATTGCGATCATAATTCTTAGACAACTCCTAGCATTTTTACACAGTCCTCATCCATCCATCCTGAAAGGACCTGCCCCAGCTGGTCCTTCAGGAAAGCAAAATTCTTGACTCCATTGAGTTGAATCAAAAGAACTTTTATTGAGAGAATGTGGTTGCAGTAAAGTCAGGCAAAATCTGAAAAAGCCCACACAAAGTTCAAAGTAATTCTTTCCTGCCCCTAAACCCAACCCTCCTGACCAGCAGCCAATGTGATGCCGCAAGGTTGTTTTGAGAACAATGAGGTGCTAGGCAGATAACGGTTCGCTCTCAGTGCATGATGGTCTTGAAATCAGACTGGAATTGGCTGAGAGGGAATCTGATCTGTCTCTGAAGACAATTCCCAAGCAGTTTGTCCATTCTGAAGCTGACCTGGCTGAAGCCATTTTTTTTCTTGTCTCAAATTGCCACAAACTTTGAAAGGGGGAAGGGAAGGAGACTGGCTACAAGTCAAAAGTAAAAGTTTTCTTGTGGGAACCAAGGTCATCCCAACAGATGGCAGAGGAGTGGCCAAGCAACCTCCCAGCTATCTTTATTGGACAATGTGATTGGTGACACCTAGTAGGGAACAATTGTGCTTTTAATTAGGGGGGAAACCTTTAGAATTGGTTTTCACTAATTGTGTTCAATTAAAATGTTCTTTGAGGAGTTCTGCTTTTGGTGGATGTATTATTTGGAACCTTGACATTAAAACAACTCTCGTAAATTTCCGGTATAGGCTACTCACCTGATCTTCGAGGGAGCAGAGAAGGCTGTGGAAATGGAGAAGGATGGGGAAGAAGTCGCCGGGGCCAGAGTGAAACCCTGCAAACAGTGGCACCGCTGAAGATCACCCTCCCAGCAGTGACCTGGCTGAAGGTCCAAATGGAGGCACAGGCCAAGGACCTGTACCAGACTGAGGAGAACCTCAGGCACCAGGCCTCCATCCAGGGGGGCTTGGAAGGGAGTGCCCATTGACCTTGTCAATGGGAGTGGTGTCAGTGTGGCCTTCGCCCTGCATTGGAGAGCGAGGGGATCCCTTGAACTAGATGAATCTGGGGAATGGAGATACCTAACAGCTTTCCCCAGCCAGATGATGGAGAACCCGCAGGAGAGGTTCGACCAGATGAGCATTGAAGGCATGGAAAAGCCATGTAGGTTCGAACCATCTAGAGTGGTCCTGAGCCGACCTACCCTGACATTCCCACCCTGCCACGGTCTGGCTCCAGCTGCAGTGACTTGATCAGTTAGTGCTCTCCTGATGATGTTGGCGCAGTTGAGTCTGGGCCCACAGCAAAGCCCACCATGCCATCGTTGGTTGGCGAACATGCCTTGCCACCTACATCACCATGGGCGGGACCCACACCATGGGCATCCTACCCCAGGGCTGGCTGGGTCCTGGGGCAGTGGCCTCCAGCTTAGAGAAGACCTCAACCTCTTCTTCCTCCTCCTCCTTGCCCAGCCACCCCTCCACCAATGAAGGCCGCCTTCTACAGGGACCCAGACAGGCATGTATTCTTCCTGAACCAGGTGTGGGCTAATATAGATGATCATGCCATGGACTATCCCAGCGACCAAGCCATGGTCCTAGCAGTGATCGCAAATTTGGAAGGGGAAGCAGCTGAATGCATGACCCAGCTCCATGATGAGGATGCATCAGAGGTGGGAAACAATGACAATTTCCCACAGGAATTGAGGGCTAGGTTCAAAAACAACTCCTAGGTCTTGCAAACTGAAGGAAAAATCTGAGAAATCAAGCAAAGGGGCCACCCCCCCAAGGAATATGTCCAAGAATTTCAGAGTGGCTAGGAAGCTGTGACAGTGGCCAGAGGGGCTACTGGTCCATTTCTTTAAGGAGGGCCACATATGCTGTTACTAAGGGCTCCCTGACTGAATCCAGGAATGGTATTGGATGGCGGTGGCAATGGACCTTGAACTCAAACGGTACAAGAAATGTGGAGTCACAGAGCAAAAACCAAAGACCCAACCGGAGAAACACCAGCTTGGAAGGCAAACTACCCCTGGCCAAGGTACAGAGCCTCTAGCACAGGGGTCACCAAACTTTGGGACCTTGGGGACCACTAAACTCATAATTTTAAATCCCGCAGACCAGAGACCTTGGGAAAAACTCCCAAAAAGTCTGCAGGGAAATTCCCCACCCCGTTTTCCTACTGATCGAACATTTTTATTTGGCATCACAGATACCATCTCCAGCTCCGTTCTCAGGGAGAGGGCGGAGGGAGGGAGGGAGGGACTGACTTTTGGCTTCCTGCAAGGAAAGCAGCAGAAGCAGCAGAAGTCTTTCTTTCTCTCCCCCAACTCCGCCAGAAATGAGTCTTTGTGAGACTTGAAGCAACGGTGCAGCCTCTTGGAGCAGGATGTCTTGCAGGGTCCCAAAGACTCATTTCTGGCCTAGATTGGGGGAGAGAAAGAAAGACTTTTTCTGCTTTTGTTGCAGCAAAGAAAGAAGAGGAAAGAAGTGCCCAAGTGAGGAGCGTGGGTTGAGTGGGGCAAGCTCCCCCCTCTGCCCTTTCCTCCCTTCCCCTCACTACCTCGTGTTGTTCACAAAGCAAGCAGCACAAGCCTTGTGTTCCCACAGGCCATGTGGCGCATCCTTGTGTTCCCGTGAAGCCTGGATTAATTGCTTAAGGGGGTCCTTTGGGGGTGACTTTTCTCTGAGGACCACCAAACTTTTCTCACAGACCACCAGGGGTCCCCAGCCCACTGGTTGGCGACCACTGCTCTAGCAGAGCCTTGGAACTGCCCATTAACTGCTTTCATTGTGGCCAGCAAAGTCATCGGGCAGCCGATGGCCTAGCCCCAGCTCCCCAGTCGAGGGGGAAACACCAGAGCCAGCCAAGCCAAAGAAGTGCCAATGAAAGGTGAGAAAGGGAAGTTTACCCACCAAGCTGTGGAGGTTTCCCCTACCCCAGGTGAGGGAGAACTCCAGCTCGGGACACCCAGCAGCCTGCACCCTACGGCAGCGATGACGAGAGCGAGGATAACCCGATAGTAAGCAAAGCCATCCGCCCCTTCACCATCCAGTCAAGACTTGTAGTACAATAATCTGGGGCCCAGGGGGACGTGGAAGCCATAATAGACTCAGGATGCATTCATTGCCTGATGAGCCTGCAATCTGCCCTGAAGTTAGGGATCGGGGCAAAACCCCTGACCTGGCCCAAAAGGTTCGAGCAAGTCAATGGATTGTTGCTAGGAGGAGCCCTTGCCACACTCCTCCAAGACCCAGTGTGGCTAGAGATGGGCAAGCACTGGGAAATCATCTGCTTTGTAATGGCACCAAAAATGACTGAGGCAATGATCCTGGGACTGTTCTGGTTAGACAAATGGCCCCCCACCATTTGGTGAGAAGGGGGAGAAAGAAAGCTAAGACTAGGAATACGCCCTCTCCCCTCCTTGTGCTGCTGAAGGAGGAGCTGTCCAACAGCTGAAAGGCACTAAGCAAAGCAAGAAAGCTAAAGCCGTGTCAGAACAACTCCCAGACGCTCCCCAAATCTCCAAGGAATACTGAAACCTAGCAGACGTTTTCAGCGAGGCAGAATGCAATACTCTTCTCCCCCATCGCCCCAGTGTCTGCGCAATAGAGATTGTGCCAGGGGCAAAACTATCCAAGCCAAAACTGTACTCCATTTCTCCTAAAGAAATGAATGAATTGAGAGAGTACATTGATAAAAACCTAGTGAGAGGATTCATACAACCACCGAAATCAAGGGTGGCTGCGCCCATGCTTTTCAAAGAGAAAAAAGATGGCACCTTCAGACAATGTAGAGTTTAGAGGAATTAATGCAGTCTGCATTTAATATATGTACCCACTCCCCCTCATGAAAGACATATTAGCCTGCCAGGCAGAGGAAAGTCTTCACCAAACCTGCGAGACCTGCGAGAAACATATTACTGGGTGAGGGTTAAGGAAGGGGGCAAATGGAAAACAGCATTCAATTGTCCCTTAGGGAATTTCCAATTTAAAGTGATGCCTTTTGGCCTCCAAGGGCCACCTGGTGTATTTATGCAACTGATCAATGAGGTGCTGAATGAGCACCTGTACAAAGGGATCCTCATATATTTAGATGATATTCTCATCTTCAGTGAAGCAGAGCACATCCAACTGTGCCAGATAATAAAGAAACTCCTTGTGGCAAATCTATATGCCAAACTATCCAAGTGTGAATTCCACAAGAACAGCCTAGACCTGGGGTCTGCACTTTGCTTTGGTGGCAAAGTGAGCCCCATGAAGAGTGGCATCAGCCATGAACTCCGTAGCAGCCACAATTTTATTGAGGTCCTGATGGGCCCGGATATCTGAAGTTGGGATCCTGTCCTGCAACTATTTAAACCATTTAAGTAACGTTCTGATGAAGAACAAAGCTGCAGTAGAAGCTTTGACAGGCCAGGCAGCCGCCTGGTGAGACCTCTGGAGCGAGTGCTCGATCCATTTTTCCTCCGCCTTAAAAGACTTCATCTGGATCAGAAGGGGCTGAAGAGGAGGAGACCAAAGCCGCCACCGGTGCATTCATTGAGGGTACATGAAAGGTCTTGGTGAACTCGGGGCCAACATTGAAGAACCTGTGGTCTGAAGACAGGAGGTTGGGCCCTGAGGCAGGTAACTCCAGCTGTTTCCGAAAGACCTTCAGAAAGAGCCTGGGAGATGGGACCACTTCGTTCTTCACCTCTGGTTCACCGAAAAGGATATCTGACTCCACAGGAGGCTGGGCAGCTGCATCTACATTATCTGCATCCCTCAGGTTAGCCGTGGTTCTCGCTTTGTACAGAAAGGGGGAGAATAAGGCATGCTTAAAACATCCCATGAACACTGGAATCTCATGAGAAGGCCCTTCATCTTCTGACATATCAGATTTCCTCTTATCAGGTTCACCAACTTGGGATTGCTCAGCAGCAACTGCAGAGTGTAGGCCGAAGCCAAAACAGAAACTGGTTCCTGAACCAGAGAACCTCTTTCTGAAAGAAGAGCCTCTTGAACCTGGGACCTTCTCTCTGAAATGCCAGAAGCTGCCGAAGAATGATGGGCAAAATTCTGCATACCTTCAGAGATATCTTTCCTGATGTCCTCATCAATCAAGAGCTGCAGGTTGACTGAGACATCTGTATCAGAAGGCTCAGCAGTTCTAACTCCTGCTGCAGTAGGGGTAAGGGAGGGATCCACCCCAGGACTACTGCCTGCGTGCTCCTGCCAAAGTACTGCCCTGTATCCACCCTGGGGATCACCTTGATGACTTCCCTCCTCTGGGGGATGAGGGGAGGCCTCTCTTCCGGCTGCATCTGGGGACCAAGCCTGGACAATAGCCATGGAGGAAGGACCAGGTTCCTCTTGAAGATCTACCTCACTGAGATGAGAAGCAGGAGAAGACACTCTTTCTGGAGATCTGCTTGTAGAGACCTATTGTACCTTGGCAATCTGCTTCTCTATGGCCTGATGGCACCTGGAAGCAGCTTTCTCCTCCACCTTAGAGGCCTTCTTTGCAGGCTGCTTTCCTTTGTTACTTCAAGCAGCAGGACTTGCTCTAGACTAGCTGCTCTAGATGGTCTGGTGTCCCTAGGGGCTTCAGACATCTTGAAAGCAGCCTCTTCTGGACAGAAAGTCCTATCCAATGCTGAGAAACACACAAAGGGACTTTTATATGAACTTCAGGGGAAATCTTCCTTCCAATCCCCCAACTTCAACAACCACTCTTCTTTAGCCCTATGCAAACTTCAGTAGGATGTTTTAAACTTCCAACTGGGACTCATACCCTCCTGGACCTAATACGGCTATCAAATATAGACCAGGCCCTGCCTGCAGCATTGAGGCCCTGGTCTACTGGGACAGGGAAACCAATCCCCCACTGGGATGAAATTTAACAAAAAAGTGCCTACCCTTCGGTGTCTTCTGGCCAGTAACAACGAGAGACCAGTGGCCTAGTGCTAGCAAGGCACAGGAGTGGTTGGAGGAGCAGGCTGAGCCTCCTCAAAATGGCCACCTCCAGCCCAGGGATCTTCAAAATGGACACCAGGCCACGAGATCTTCCAAAATGGCCACTTCTGGCCACGAGGCTGCCTGCTTCACCAGGAAACCCTAAGGAGGGATCCCTGGCCTTTCATTGTCCCCACCATGTCAGGGGCAGCTCCTAGGAAGGCCGCTCGAAGTGCTTTCTTCGCCACGGAGGCTCAGAAACGGCCCTGCGGCTCCGTTAAAGAGGGTAGAAGCCCCCACCCTTGAAAATGGTCGTCTGGTCAAATGACGGCTTCCTCTTCACCATGGAGGGTTGCAAACAGCCCCGCGGCCTCTGCAGGCTGCTCTGGATCACCGGATCAACTGCCAGCCATTGCATGGCTCCGAAAACCAGCTGGGAAGCGGAGCCGCGAAAATTCAAGAGAGAGACTTTTTCTAGGCTTTTTTTCTCTTTGTAAAGGCTGCCTTTGGGGAAAACTTCCAAAGGCAGGACAGGCAGTGAATTGTGTCCGTCCTGGCTGAGGACTGAGTCAAAAGATGGGAGGAGCTACCCAGAGTGGGTGGAGCTAGGCTTATAAGCCTTTTAGATAGACTCAGTCCAAGCAGCTAGGACAAGAGCAACACCCACTCCTGACCTGTCGCAGCCTTACAAGGGAGAACAGCAACTTTTAATATTACATATGTATTTTTTTCATTGGTGATAGAACTGCTCCTCAGAAAGCAACAAATGAATTTTGGCTGTACATGCTGTTCTCCTGCTGATACATCACTGCTTTGGAACCAATCCAATATATTCAATTATAGCGTTATCAGGTCAGACTTAAGGCAAATTGAATGCCAGATTGAACTGCCAAAAAATGCAATTGGAATATTATCTTTAAGTTGTATACTTTTTAAAAAATCAACAATCTGGCACCTTCAATTGTTTTTATAGTCTTTATATTAACAAACAAAAGCTTCATGTGTTCTATAAAGTGAGACTGAGCATTCCTTAGGCATAATAAAATGCTGAGAAATTAACTTACCTTTTCCAATTCTCTTGGTATTCGCATGCATGTATACACTCTCTCTCTCCGTTCTGTGTACTTGGCTTCATTGTGTTCAAGGAAGTAACCTCTTGTTAGTTCTGCATTGATAAACCTCAGTAGAGAAAGATCTGCATTGAAAGAAAACCTCTTTTTTAAAAAGTTGAATTATTTAGCATTTCTTTTCTCATTTTTCCTTAGCGGCCATAGTGAACTACTTTAAAGGCAAGATAACTCCTTGCTTAAAAGCTTGTGCCAACTAACTGGCCCACATCTTCACTGCATCTTTAATAAATCACTAGAGACATGCTATGTTCCTTCTTGCTTCAAATGCTCTACTATCATCCCAGTGATAAAGAAATCCTCCATCAAGGAACTGAATGATTTTAGACCAGTTGCTCTAACATCTGTAGTTATGAAAACCTTTGAAAGGCTTGTGCTGGCCCACCTGAAAACCATCATAGATCTGCTGTTAGATCCCATGCAGATTGCATACCAAGCAAATAGATTGACAGATGATGCTGTTACTATGACTCTGCACTATATCCTACAACATCTAGACTCTCCAAAGACATATGCAAGGGTCCTCTTTGTAGACTTCAGCTCATCATTCAATACAATTATTTCCAGATATTCTTCTAACTAAACTAAATCAGCTAGCTTACCTGACCACACTTGTAAATGGATCATAAGCTTCCTAACAGACAGGAAGCAGCAGGTGAAGCTAGGCAAAATTACATCAGATACCTGTACAAGTAGCACAGGGGGTACCCACAGGGCTGTGTGCTCTCTCCACTTCTCTTCTATCTATATATGACTGCATCTCAAAAGATCCCTCTGTTAAAGTACTGAAGTTTGCAGATGATACAACAGCGATTGGTCTCATTAGAGACAATGACGAATCTGCATACAGATTCGTCATTGAACAACTAGCCTTATAGTGCAACCAGAACAATCTTGAACTAAACACGCTCAAAACTGTAGAAATGGTGGTAGATTTTAGGAGGAACCCTCCTATACTACCACCTCTTACAATACTAGAAAACACAGTATCAACAGTAGAGATCTTCAAGTTTCTAGGTTCTATCATATCTCAAGACTTAAAATGGACATCTAATATCAAAAACGTCATCAAAAAAGCACAACAAAGAATGTTCTTTCTGCACTAACTCAGAAAGCTCAAACTGTCCAAGGAGCTACTGATTCAGTTCTAAGAGGAATTATTGAGTCTGTCATCTGCGCCTCTATAACTGTCTGGTTTGGCTCTGCAACCAACCAAAGACAGACACAGATTTCAATGGATAATTCGAACTGCAGGAAAAAAAACAATTGCTACCAGCCTGCCTTCCATTGAGGACCTGTATACTGCATGAGTCCAAGAGAGCCGTGAAAATATCTACAGACCCCTCACATCCTGGACATAAATTATTTCAACTTCTACCTTCAAAATGTTATGAAGCATTGCATATCGGAGCAACTAGACACGAAGGCAGTTTCCCCCAAATGCCATCACTCTGCTAAACAACTAATTCCCACAACACTGTCAAACTCTTTACCAAGACTGTATTACTATTATTCTTCTCATCCTTCCTATTACCTACATCCTCCACTTATGACTACAACCTTGTTGCTTGTATCTTTATGATTTATATTGTTTTATTTAGTCTCCTAATAGTATTTGATTGCTTATTTAGTATCCTATGACTATCACTAAGTGTTGTAACTTATGATTCTTGATGAATGTATTTTTAAATGTACACTGAGAGCATATGCACCGAAGACAAATTCCTTGTGTATCCAATCACACTTGGCCAATAAAGTATTCTATTGTATTAATCTAGGTCAGGGGTCTCTAAACTGGCTGGGAGTTGGTCTACAAATCTTAAAGTTATCAAATTTGGAGACCCCGATCTAGGCCAACACACAAGTGACAGCATCAGTTTAAATCTTACTATCTTTCCTGGTGCGTCTTATGTGTCATTATTTTTTGTAATAAAATTTTATTGTTTTTATATTTTAAAAACATCTTTCAGTGAACAACGTGGTTCCAGATTTACACATCAACACAAACATGACCTTAGTACATATTTATCTTTCACATTCAAATTCAATTCTATATCATATCATTACTTCCATTTTCCAGTAAATTTTCTCCATTATTTTCTTTACACTTATTAAATCCATTTTTAATTTATATCTTATCTTAATTTCTTTTTCTATAAATGTTCTCAAATCTTATTCTATAGTCTAACATTCTTATTTTTTAATTCTAAATTCATTATACCTTTATACTTTTTTCTGTCACATTTGCTATTTTGTCACATACTTTTATTTCATTATTCAATAAATTCCATCTTAAATCTAATAATTCCCAAAAATTTCCCCCTTTAAGTATTAATTAGAGTGTGCAACCCTTTTATCTTATACATCCCTGAATTTATTCCCCTTTAATCCATAATCAAAATTTATCATAATATAATCACTATATAATTATCACATTTTAGTTTAATAACAATAATTTCCTAACTACTATATGTCACATGTCCATATATATATTTTAAGCAAGGTTCCCCCTGGTATTCCCTAAAATTACATTTGTTGTTTCAAATATATTGATCTATTCTGTTAATTATAGAAACTGTTATTGGTCTTTTCACCTGGATTCTCATAATTCATTTTAACTATATTCTTTATTTTATTACCCATATATAAATTAACAACAATCCTTAAATAAAAAACCAATTAAAAAGAAAAGAAAATATATCAATTTCATTCACATTTAAAAGCTACATTCTTATGTATTACAACACATTACCTTGTAGAATCCCTTTTCTTTAATCTTTATCTACCTGTTGTCTCTATGTCTCTTGACTAAACAATTTCTAATTACTTTTGTTCGGTTTCCATATCTCCTTATTTTCTGGTTCTTTCTCTTATTACATCTTTTCCTTTCATTTTTTCCTTCCTTTTCTTATTCCAATTTTTATCCCCCTCCCTCTTTAAGACTTTCTTTTGTAATTCCCTTTTCTGGTGTTTCCTTTTTTTAGTTTGGCTTTCAAGACATTTCCCTTTTTAATTGTCTCCTCAATCCTCCAAGTTTTAATTTCCATTTTCTCCCCTTTGTTTTGATGGACATTGCTCCCTTTGTTCATTAAAGCTGGCTTCTTCTTTTTTAATTAACTCCTCCCCTTCTGGCACTCCTTGTGGTTCTTCTTTTCTCCAGAATTGCCATTTCTAATAATTGTAAGGTAATACAGCACGATTCATTTCTTTCATTTAACATTTTTTATGTTTCTTAGTTCTATTTTTAGTTTCAAGAAAAATTCTACCATTTTCAAACACTTCTTTTATATTTTCTTTATCCCTTTCTTTAGAATTTAAGTCCAAGCCTATTGTCCAGTAATTCAATTCGACCAGCGTCTTTGATTTTTATTTCCAACGATCAACTTCTGTTAATTCTTCTTTAAGTTTTTTTCCCCAAATTCATCAATTAGTCCAATATCCATAAGTTAAAATTTATGCCAATATCACCAAACAGCCCCAGTGTAGTTTCTTCATGCTTGTTTTATTTTAAAATTCTGTGTTTTCACTTTTCACTTTTCACTGTTTCTGCTTTATTGTAACAAAGTTCCTCCTATTTTGTATCAAGTTTGAGTTTTGGGAGACCAGACACTTTTTTAAAAAGTCACTGTAATTTTCTTTTACCATTAAGTGGTGCTCTCTGTTACATCCAAGTTCCACCCTTTCTTTCCACTTTTTTACTTTTTATTTGAGGTATTTAGGTTTCAAAAATTCAATAAATCCAAATTGTAATTCATTTCTTTTTGGCACATTCAAGTTCAGCATTTAATTGCCTATTTAGTGCCAGAATCATAAATTTGTCCAAGTTTTCTTCCAGCTTCTTCCTTCAATTTAGCTCCTGTCAAAATTCAAATCCTCTTTCATTTTTTTCCACCCTTCTTTCCTCTCTCTCTCTCGTCGCTGCTTTATAATCCTTTTAGAAAAAATATTTGTATCTTAATTCCGGGGTATCTTTATGACCATGAGTTATGTCTGGTTTTCACACTATCCACTTCTTCACCGCTTCAGCACAAAACTTAATTCCCGGATAGCTTCCCATCTTCAGGGCAGCCATTAAAGACTGCCGCTTACTCCTGTCTTTGAGGGGAATGTATCTAGCCAGGGAGGGAAGATGTGGCTCCCCTCGACTCAGCTGGCGGTCTCCCCCTCTTTCCCCACCCACCCAAGGTGGATCCAGTTTGGGATCCTCCAACAGGGCAAACACTGATTGAAGCCACGCACTATCACGGTCTCCGGTCCGTCACCAATGGAAGTGCCACCAGAAGTCCCTTCTTCTTACATGTCATTAGTATGCATCAGTGCCCCATCTACAACTCCACAGTGACAATATCTAGAATATAGCTCTTTACTATTTGTTGCTGTCTTCTGCTCCACCTACTACAGATTTGCCCCAATTTTATTCAGTTCCAAGAATCTCCAAACTGAGTTGAATAAACTCTTGGCAGGAATCCCAGAGAGCTCGCACTACCAATCCTGGTTCATTCTAGTGGACTATATGAGCCTTGCTGACTTACAACCAGCAGGACTCATCTTATTAGGGTTGCTGTTTAGCATTACTGTTTCCCTGCCTTTATTTAAAGACATGTAAAGACCCAAAAGTTTTCAGAAGCAATTAGAGTACAGAGGTTAAAGGAATAAATAATGGGTTTAAATCTGGAGATTGAGGATGAAAGTGATAAACCAGAGTCTATGAACAGAAGAGAGAAAGGATAATAAGGAAGCTTGACAGATTAGAGAAATGAGCTCAAAACAATGGAATGAAATTGAATAGAGACTAGTGCAAAATATTTTATTTAGGAAAAAAATAGGTGTACAATATAAAAGTATATATGCATGAAGGGAGATGCCTGCACAAAACTAAGCCTTCCATACAGCTTCACATTGTGTTGTAATGATAGCCTAGCAGAAATTTTTTTATGTTTGATATCCTTGGCCTGACTTGTTCACTATATTGATTTTATATGCTTATTTTCATATTGAAATGTAGTTTTTATTTATTATGTTTGTACACTGCCCAGTGTCATGATTTTGAGAGATAGGCTAAATAAAT